GCACTATACGCGTGGGAAAAGAGAAACGAGTGTGCATATATGCGTGATAAATGGCGAAAATAATAGTGTTCGTGACAAGTTGCGTCGAACCGGTTCATCGTTACGCGCGCCTGCATGATATTGAGGTTCGTGACGAGCTGATAACGGTCAGGGTTTTGCGCGTTGACATGTCTTCCAGCGCGCAGGGCCGTTATTCTGGGAAGCAGTCCGGGACAAGAGTGCGTTGGGCATAGACATCCACCTGATGCACGAGACCGGCCGCAAGTGCATGGCGCCCAAGACCGTCAAGAACTTCGACGTCATGCACCATAACGGTACTCATCGCATGAATGTCCATTTTTGTCGATGCTCGCGCGGCGTCCTGGTAGACAACTATACGCAGTTGTTGCGACACCGACTTTGGCCGGCGACCAACACAGACCCGACGACGGCGACGACGTTCTCATCGTTGGACCAGTTCTCGAGGCTGGCGATGCTGGGGAGACTGACTGGGTACGACTACTACCAGGCCATGTGCGCGGCGACGGATGCGATGGGCATATTGAAACTTCCGGTAAGACGTTCGAGATTCGGAGACGCACGGGGGCTGACGGCTGCCAAAGTCTCTCCTCAAGCAGTTCATGCGCAGCGCCAGGCAGTTTCGTCACGTCCATATGTACAAGAGGGCGGGTCGGGCGCACGACGCGGGAGGCATTGCAGGCACCCCGGCTGGCGGTGCTGCTATAGAGTGCCCGGCCTGTCCGCGCCCTGGTTGGAATATACCGGACTCGTGGATTTCCAGCCCGCTAGAGTATGCTTCAAGCTTTGCGCTGCCTTTCCCGCGCTAACAAACGTGTACTTGCAGGTGGCTGTATCGACGTTACCTCGCCATCGACGCCAACTTCCGACTATCGAACCGGTTTTCTCGATCGACCGAGAAGAGCGACCCTTGCCTGAATGACGGGCGCGCTTACGTGGTGGCTGCGGCCGAGTTTGAAGCTTACCTGAAAGAGGTCGACAAAGACAAGGACGGGAACGACGTCGAGCAGGTGAGCGTGCCTTGCAGCGCGAGCGATAGACAAAGCTGACGCGCCGACACAGCCGGTCAGTTGTTCCAGGTTCAACGCAATCACCGAGGTCAACCAGAAGGGGGGCCGAGGTCTCAGGACGACCGGCGTGGCCGGATGCTTCTGTGCGCGCCACGATTTCTGGATGCCGTGCGGGTGCGGGTGGCTGACAAAGGGCGAACGGTATGAATGCAGTTAACATCGCTATGAACGCCACTGAACTGACGTTCCATCTTCAGATATAGCGTCATCGACTACATAGTCTGCCGCGTGCATTCGTGGATCGGCGTACGTATGGTGGTATACTCGTACGACATCAGCTGCCAATGGAGCGTGAACTTTGCGCACCGTTTGCGAAACATCAACCCAGCGTTCTCGGTACTATTCGACGCAGCTCAAGGCGTATTGGACAAGACCAGGACGTTCTTGGTTCCCAAGTTTCACTTGTACGCACACAAGTTTTGGTGCTTCTGCCGCTACAACTTCTCGTACACGCCCGGCGTAGCACAGACGGATGGAGAGGGATGCGAGCGGGTCTGGTCGGGAATGAACGGCGGTCAGGGAAGCATACGGGAGTCGGGCGTAGGCGCGTGGCGCGACATGATGGACGACATGTGCCAGGCCTGGAACCACAAGAAGGCGTGCGCGTTAGGTGCGCATTCTGTTGCTACAGCACGGCGCGGCTCATATTGACATTTGGAATACAGGCTCTACGCTGACGAAGAACATGAAGGAGGCTCTGCAACAGGCCTACATGCACTGCGACATATATACCGACCTCACAACGGTGATCAAAACCGACGCACTTGATAAGTACGTCGAATACTCGGGTAAGCTGGAAAAGTGGGACGCCGCCGGCCAGAAGGGGAAGGATTGCCCTTACGAGCATACGTTGCCTGGTACGTTATCAGCGCTTCAAGGGTCTACCACGTTCTGAGCGCTATCAAGACGTTTCGCTTCCTGAACTCACGCGTAGGGCGGAGACAGAGGTCGATCTTGTTGCCGCCCCGAAGACGGCGCCTCGCGAGATTTCGGAATTGGTCTCGCCGAACGTCGACGCCAGCTGCTCCGCCGCCCAGAACTTGGCCCAGGATGGCGGCTCATGCAATCAAGCGGCCGCCGACGGCGACGTTACATCCGACGAGAACGCGAAGGTTCGTGAGGTGGAGGACAGGCGCCTGCGGGCCGAACGGGAGAGGCTTCGGCAAGACCTAGCGGACGTCGAGGAGAATGAGGAACGCGTAAAGTGGTTGATGTTGGGCATGAAGATCGAGGACGACAGGTACGAATGATCTAATACGCTCGTTTCTACTTACACTGACACAAGTCTCCAGGCAACGCCTCAAGAGCGATGCCGCGGATGACAGCCCCGACGTCAAGGCGAGCCGCGAGGACGCGCTCTTCGAAGCCCTAGTGAGCTTCAGGGCGCAACAAGACCGCTTCATGCCTGGCTTCCTGGCTACGTTACCGACGGAGGTGCGCGACCCACGGGAGGAAGACTCGCACAAGACGCCTTTGTGTATGCCGTCCGGCGTTTCAGCATCTTGGCGAACAAGGTTCGGCGCTCTCACCGTCTGGGAGTCGCGAGTACGATTGGCGAACATGGACGCTGCGCTAGACGAACTTCGGCGGACGCTGCGTCTGCGAGTCGCGTTGAACAAGTTTAAGATCGCCAATTGGACGGGTCAGACGAAGAACACCAGGGCGAGGAGCGCGCAATCGGCTGTGGACAAGCGCGTGAGGGCCGCCGCCTCCGCGTACCGCAGGCACCGAGATGCCTACGCCGCCCTTCGCGGATGGCAAGAGTCGCGTAAACCTGTCTCCGAGCGCAATGACGTCGAAGCGAAGAGGTGGGAGAAGCGCTGGCAGGTGCTCAAACCGGAGCATGTGAAGGGCTTGGGCGACAAGACAATCTCGACGTGGTTGGAGAAGGGCTGGGGCAAGGCGAAGGAGTTCTTGGAGAAGCGCAATTCGGAGAAGAAGGCGAAGAAGTACTGGGGGGTTAAGCAGACGAGTAACTCGGGTCTCACGAAGTCGCCGGTCTCCTGGATCTGGTACAACGTTAGCGAGGACGACGACGGCTTGGACGTAACCGACGGTGCGTACGTTCGTGCCCTTGAACGCGCGGCTTTGATCTGATCGTAGTCCGCAGAACTCATGGTTGAGTGGTGCAAGGCTTGAGCGCGTGCGCGACGCTGGGTCGAGCAAGTGAGGCTGCTGAAGCTTGAGATGGAATGCCTCATCGACTCGGACCTCAAGACGGCGTCTGTCTGGGTAGAGCGCGCCGAGGCGCCCTTCGAGAAGAGGCGGTGCAGGCAGTTGGTAGAAGGGGACCCGGATCCGCTCGTGGTCTACGACAACGACGAGGTACTGGTGGCGGGTTTGCGCGCGTATGCGCACAAACAAGCTCACTACCATCGGGAGCGCGCGCGGTGCAATAAGACGCTACAGGTGACCTTAGCGTCCGAGGTCGCCCGATTCATGGCCCACCACACGCTCGATGGCAAGTACCACGAGACACCGCATGGTCAAGAGTATTAATGTAATACGGTTTTATCTGGATGTACCTTACGCCTACCGTTGTATTTGATGAACACGCTCTGAGAACTAAGTAGTGAGTTGATAAGATGAACGCGATCACATGATTTCGGTGCTAGATCGCGAAGTGCTAAATGAACTAGTATATTACAATCGGCGCGGTGCAAACGATGTGTGAATACTCCATTTATCAAAGTCACGAATCGACTTGGGGCGGAAGTGGCGGATGGCCGGGATGACGCGCCGATCGGCATCCCGAGCGTCGGACAGGTTGAGCAAATTGGTCGCGGCCGTGCAGGGCATCGGATTCCCTCTCGCTCGTTCTGCCGCCATCTGCTTCTGCGCTATGGATGCCTATACGACTGTATCAGG